CAAAACAAAACGCACCCCCTTTTCTTGTTTGCCCCCCCCCCCTGCGTTTTGTCCTTGTTGTTTTCCGTTTCTTTCTGTATCCGCGCGATTTATAAAACTGTCCCCGCTAAGCAGCGCGGCGTTGGGCCGCGACCGCATTGTGTGCGGAGCCCCCGTGAAAAAAAAAACAACACAAACAAAACAGCAATCTTTTAAATCAAATATTGTCTAAAAAAATTTTCACATTTTTTTTAAAGGGTCGTTTAGAGACTACCAAGTTTTCATTCTGCCTTACATGGACACACCTTTGCTCACTATTGTCGTACTGTACCGAGGGAAATTATTGGATGGGCCCCTACCTTTAAAAAAAAAAAAAAAAAAAAAACTTTTAGCGTGTACCGGAAGTCTATACTCCTCTTCCTGACAACGCGGCGAGGCGAGGCGAGGCGCGCGGTTCGAACGGGACGGAAGACAAAAGCGCCGGCCTGCGATAAAAACAAAACAAAACACGAAATTAGCATGAGACTCCCCAAAGCCACCCCCTGACCTCATACCTATTCTCAGCCGAACGGACTGCGGACCCACCTCCTCTGAAATACATTTTTCCTCCCCCCTCCCTCCAGTTCCCCTGGAGCCGCCCCCGGCCCGCACTCGTCGTCCTCCGGCAGATCGTGAAGCGCGCGCGAAGCGCGAAGCGATCCGACAGCAGAAACTGCCGCACGTCGCCGCTTGAAAGCTTTCAAGGAGGAGAAGTGGCAGTTGGGGGGGGGGGTCTCTCTCGCACACAACCGGAACGGCCCGTCGAGTGCGAGAGGGAGTACTGGCGGAGGCGCAGATTGCGGCTCTCTGTCTGCGCTGCAGCGGGCCCTGTCCTGATTGGTCGGGGCGCCCCGCCGCGCCCCGCCGTGCTTCGGAGTGCCTCGCCGTGCCGGCCGATTATGCAGAGTGTGTGTGACGCCCGCAGCGGCAGCGCTCTAACTGAACAGCCTTTGGGCACCGCGGCACCGCCATGGGATAGGCACTTGGAGCGCGCTTCCCTCTACAGTGCCGTGCCGACACGGTGGCGGGTCTTCCCGCAAGCACTGCCGCGCGAGTTTCAAACATTGGCAGATAAAAAAGCGGGGGAGGGCTTGTTTATTCGCTCGCATGGCGGTAATGACGCCTTTTATTTTGTTCCGTTTTAAAAAAATATAAAAGAGGGCGCGTGGTGTAGCAGCTCCATTCCCTGCGACCACGACCCCGCTTGTAAAGACCCCGCTCCCTTCGGATTAGGCCGTCGTGAGCATGTGCGTGTGTGTGTGTGTGTGTGTGTGTGTGTGTGTGTGTGTGTGTGTGTGTGTGTGTGTGTGTGTGTGTGTTGTGTGTGTGTGAGCACGCGTGCGGAGGGGGAGGACTGGGTGTGGACAGAGGGATTTTGTTCCTGCATCATTCTAAAACAATTATTTACTACCGTTCTGCTTTTTTTCCCGCCGCCCTATGCGCTCTTTTTCATTTGCGCCGGTGCTTGGATAATAGGAGAATGAGAGTGAAAATGCTTTGGGCGGCCCCGCCAGGTGAAGTGAGACTGATAAAAATAGAAAACGCAACAACAACAATTTTTTTCAATTTAAAAAACAGCAAATGAACTGGAAACGGATCCGGGGTGTTGAACAGACTACCGCAAGGGCCGCGCAGTCTCTCTCTTTCTTTTCGCGCTGGCCGCCTCGACACACTCCCTGATCGAGGGACCTCCACCAGTAATTCACGGTACACGCCGAAGGCAGCATTGCCATTACCGGCATTTGCAAGAGTAAATTCGATTCCAGCCTCGATTCCAGGCTGCAGACGCCCCCCCCCCCCTCTTCGGCCCGCGGCCCATTTCCGATCTCGGGAATCGACATCAATCTTCCCTCCGCGGCCAAAATCAACAAGAACACCTCGACAATTATAAATCAGCCGTTTCCGCAATCACCGGAAGGGAGGTGGAGCCGAAGGTGAAGGGAGGGGGGAGGCTTTGCGGGGAGAAAGCGAATTGCGTCGGGGTCTGGGTCGGTGAGGGTTCAGGGCCCGTCCAGGGCCAGGCCCAGCCAGGCCCAGCCCGCTACACACGGGGTCAGTGCGGCCGGCGGGGTGGGCCTTGCCAGGCCTTGCGCTCGCCGAGTTGGATCGAAGGAAATGCAATAGAGAGGGGCAGGGGGCCGGGCATGGCCGGGCGGTACCTCCGTCCTTCGTCCTTCGTCCTGCGTTCGACGGCCACTTCGCGGACCTCGCAGACCTCACGGCTTGCGGCGGCCCGAAGCCGCTTACCTCCACGGCAACAACGCGACGGCCTCGGCGGCGACGGACGACGACACTGAAAAAGGTGGCCGTGGTCTTGAGGGATGTCGCCGTGGACGGGCTGCCGGGACGGCGTAACTGCGGAACCATCCGCTGGCCGCGTCAAACGCTAAGCCTTATTTACAACGCCTTAAGCCTTGATTCGGCCGCGCTATCTTCACGGCGGGACCGTGGCGTTTAAGTGTAATTGCGGGGCTGGCTGCTCGGGCTGGCTGTTGGGGCTGGCTGCTCGGGCTGTCCGGCTGGCGGGGCGAAAGGCCCATAAATCGGTCCGTATACACTACTTAGGCCCCGCCGCGGCCTCCAGCCCACGCCTCTAACGGCGTGTTGTGGGACTGTGTGTCCGGGGCGGTCCGGGGAGAAGGGGGAGGGGGAGCCCAGCCAATAAAGTATCGAGATAAACTCGACCGTCTTCTGGGGCGCCAGCGCAGGGCCACAGCACCACCACCAGCAGGGCGAGGCCGGTGGCGGCGCGGCGGGCTGGCGGTGGACACCCACACCCTCCCCGTCAGGACGTCCGTTTTTCGGCCGGGCCGGCGGGCGCAGTTCGTCGGTTGGGACCCCACCGCAGCCCTGCTAGCCCTGCCGCATCACCGCAGCACGGCGTGCCGGCGGGGCCGCGGCGCCGGGCGACCGCTACCAGGACGCCAGACTACACGACCACCACCGCGCCGCCGGCCACATGTGCGGCGCTGGCCCGGCGCCCCTCCCCTGCTTGCAGCCCCCGGCGACATCAGTTTGCAATCAGGCCTGGGGGTCCCGGGCGGCGTGCGGGGCTGCGGGGCGACGGGGCACGCCGCTCTGTCGCACGCGCGCCCCCCGCGCCCCGCGGCCCCAGGTGCGGGCGCTCTCCAACGCGCCCCGCCGTGGAGGGCGACATGGAGGGCGACATGGAGCCCGTCCCGGCGTCCCCGGCGTCGCCGTGGCGGCGTAATAGCGCCGGAAACCGGTTTAATCCCCAATAACCCGCCCCAGCCGCCCCGGCCGTCCCAGCGCAGCTCGTGTAGTACACCGTACTGCGTCACGGCCAAACGCGTGCTTCTGCACTCGCCCGTGCTGGTTGCCGTCATTGGCTTCGGGCTTTGACTTCTCCCTGGTTGACGTCCTGGCCGCCGGCGCTGCCGTCGACTTGCTGCATGTTACTCCGCCTACAACGACCGCAGCAGCGGCGACGGCCGAATCGGATATTCAAATAGAAAAGTTCTGGGGAAGGACCGACCGGACCGGACAGCGTACAAGAAAGTGCCCTCCGAGACGTCGCCGGCGTGGCGGCCCGCGGGAGAAGGGGGCCGACGCGGCCGACCGGGGCAACCCCGGGCCACCCTGTGCTTTCAACTTTGAGCTCTCGGCGTAGCGCGCGGCGCGCGGCGCGGAGCGGGGAGTGATTTAGGAACTGATATTACGGATGTAAATCAGCTTTCTTTGCGACGTCGCGTCCCGCGCGTCCCCGTCCCGCCGAGCACCCCTTCGGCACTCCCGTGTTTCTCGCAAAAAGGAAACGTTAACGCGTTTCCTCCGAAAATAACCCGAGCCGGCGTGTCTGGCGGGGACGTCCGGGGACGTCCGGGGACGTCCGCGCAAAAGGCACAAAAGTAATTCCGCGGACTTGTTCTCGGGAATAACGGCGCCGAAGTGCCGCGGGACCGCGACCGTTTGATCAGCGTCGGGGAGCTAGGGAGCACCTACAGTGGGGGGAGGGGGGACGGGTCGCATGCATACACCGGTTTCTCCGGAGGGACTTCCATAGCGCATTTGTATGCGCCCTTCCGGTCGCCCCCTCCCCCCTCCCCAACCCCCGGCCGACCGTGAGTTATATTGAGGGAACTAATATCGAGTAAGGCGGCGCGGGGCGGCGCGGGGCTGTTCGAGGCAAGGCTTCGACAGGGCGCGGAGAGGGCGGTGGAGGGGGAAGGTCGCCCTGCAGTGCCTCGGTGCCTCGTTCTTGTTCTCCGGCGCGGCGTGAATGTGAACCACTGTAAACATACATTGTGTATGAACACGTGTAGGGGCGTGGGCGAACGGTGTGGTTTATTTCAAGCCGCTCGTGGAGTGCAAGGTACGCAAATGACGCAACGCGGTCCGGCCGGGGGAGGGGAGGGGTGAGGGAGGGGTGCTGCAACACGGGTGCTGCAGCGGGGGGGTGATGGCGCTGACACTGCTCGCTGGCGGCGGTGGCGGCGGTGGCGGCGGCAGCCCCTTCGCTTCGCCGCGGCGTTCCCTCTCTCCGCCCCCGAGCTTCGCCTCGCCGACAGTGTCCCGCCGACTGCCGCCACGCGAGGAGCCACCGCGCCGCCCCCGCCGCCAGCACCGCCCGCCGCAACAAGTAGTCGGCCTGCAGCACGTCGCCGCGCACCTCGCCGCCTCGCCGCGGCCAGCCCGGCAGCCAGCCCGGCAGCCAGCCAAGGACCGGACGGCCAGCCGGCAGCCAGCCAAGGAGTAAAGGATATCGGGGCCAATTTCCGGCGCGCTTTCATCCGCGCCGAGAAGGCCCTGCCGAAGGATAGGGTGACAGGAAATTAAATGTAGCCGCCGCTGTGCGCCGAGCCGGGCGGCCACTTCCGTCGGGATGAGCTGCGCGCGGACAGCGGCCCCTCGACGGTGACGTCCTGGCGGCCTGACGGCCAGACGGCCGCACCCACACTGCTGGCAGGGAAGCGGGGCACGGCGATGGGGCTGGCGGACCTAGAGGCGGACCCACCCTGACGATGTCGCCGCTGCTCGTGCTCCTGCTGCTCGCCGTGGTGGCCCCGTGGGGCGCCGGCACGGCCCCCAGCACGGCGGACACCAGCACCGTCACCACCTCCACCACCACCGCCAGCACCACCACCGCACCGACGCCGACGACTGGCGGCAGCAATGGCGGTTGCCCTGCGATGTGCCGGTGCGGGCCCGAGCCGCTGCCGGTGCCCGAGGCCGCCGACGTGGAGGTGTCCGGGCCGAGGGCCTCCATGGCGTGCGCCGGCGTGCCGGTGCTGTCCGAGGACCACGCCGACGTGGAGCTGCTGCGCGTGGGCAACACCACGATGCGGCGGCTGGACTTCTGGGCGCTGCGGCGGCTGCCGGGGCTCCGCGTGCTGCACGTGCAGGGCAGCGGCGTGGCCGAGCTGACGGGCTCGGGCAAGGCGAACCGCGACCTCCGCGTGCTGGACCTGACCGCCAACAGCCTGCACGTGCTGGGCGGCTTCGCGTTCCGCGACCTGGCCGAGCTGCGCGTGCTCAACCTGACGGCCAACGGGCTGCACTCCATCGCGCCGTCCGCGCTCGCGCTGCCGAAGCTCACCGTGCTGGACCTACGGCGCAACCGCCTGGCCGTGCTCAAGCCGCACTTCTTCGCGGACGCGCCCGCGCTGCGCGAGCTGTACCTCGCGGACAACGCGCTGTCGCGCGTGCCGGCGCTCGTGCTGCCCGCGCTGCTGCACGTCCTGGACCTGTCCGGCAACCACATCATCCGCGTCGAGGACTCGGCCTTCGACGCCGTCAACGTGACCAACACGCTGGACCTGTCGCGCAACGCCCTGCGACGCGTGCCCCACGTGGCGCTGCGCCGCCTGGGCGCGGTGCGCGACCTGGTGCTCAGCGACAACCCCCTGGGCGACGCGTGGGGCGCGCTGCCGGCCGGCGCCGTCGTGGGGCTGGCCGTGCGCACGCTGCACCTGCAGCGACTCAGGTCGCCGTCGCCGGCCCTGGCGCTCGCCACCGTGCGGCGCGGCGCGCTGCAGGCCCTGCCCGAGCTGCGCGAACTGCGGCTGTCCGCCAACCCCGACCTCACCTACGTGCACCCCCAGGGGCTGGCCGGCGTGCCGCGCCTGCACACCCTGGACCTGTCCAGCACCCCGCTGCTCGCCCTGGAGAGGGAGCTCCTGGACGCGGCGCCCTCGCTCAAGACGCTGCGGCTGGACAACGGTACGTACAGTGCATATTTAATTCGTTTTCCTACTGGTCGCGCGGAAGGGAGAAGTTCAGAGGTGGTCAGATTGAGGTGTTTGACCCTGAGGAAATGCTCTGCTCCCCGCAGGCACGCTGCACTGCCACTGCAGCCTGGGCTGGCTGCGCAACCTGACGCAGGGCCCCGTGTCGTGCCGGGGGCCGCCCTCGCCGCAGCCGCCCTGCGCGCCCTACATCATCCCCCTGTTCCCGGAGGCCTTCTCGGAGACGCTGGGCAACAACGCGTCCTTCCACTGCCGCGCGCTGTTCGGCGCCCCGGCGGCCGGCGAGGCCCCCGCCAAGGCCGCCGCCAAGGCCAGCGTGTCGTGGCGCACGCACGCCGGCGTGGAGCTGTCGGAGGGCGAGTGCGCGGACGCGGCGGGGCGCGTGTGCGTGCGCGACCACGTACTCACGGTGCTGTACCTGCACGCCGAGGACGCCGGCACCTACACGTGCGAGGCGCGCGCGCCGGCGGGCCAGGACGCCCGCGCCGTCCGGCTGCACGTCCGCGACGTACACGTCCGCCTGCTGCCGCTCACCGTCACCTCCACGTTCGTGACGCTGGCGTGGAACATGAGCAGCGCGGTGACCAACAGCTACACGCTGCGCGTCGAGGAGGTGCCCGAGGCCACGACGGCCGCCCCGGGCGCGTCCGCCGCGCCGCCGCCCGCGCCGCGCTCCGTCACCTTCACCGTGGGGCTCAAGATGCACTCGTACACGGTGCACGGCCTCAAGCCGCACAGCCGCTACGCCTTCACGCTGGCGATCCAGCGCGAGGCCTACTCCCTCGTCATCGGCTCCACCGAGGTGACGACGCGCGAGGGCGCCTTCCTGGTGTCGCTGGGCATCGAGCGCAACTACCTCAGCATCATCCTGGTGTCCGTGGTGGGCGGCGCGGCCACGGCGGCGTGCCTGGGGCTGTGCGGGCTGCGGTGCTGGCGGCAGCGTCTGCGCCTCAAGGAGGCGGCGCACCTCGCCGCGCTGCGCAAGTCGGACTCGGCCTTCTCGGGCAGGGAGATGCTGTCGCAGCCCGGCACGCCCACGGCCCTGGACACGGCCCTGGACACGGACAGCCCGCCGCTGCACACACTGTTCCGCGGCATCACCTACATCAGCCTGGCCGACGAGCGCAGCGCGCCCAGCGAGTGCGGCCGCTCCATCGAGCAGGACCTCATCAGCTTCACCTGAGCAACAAGTGTGGGCAACGCAATCATGCCTCTCTTGTTCAGTTTGTCCAAGTGATGTGAGCGTGTGTGGACGGGCCGGACGGACGCGCGACGCAGCCGGGGCCGAGTAATCCAATTCCAAACCAATTTCTGATAATTGTGTCACCGGGCGAACAGAGCAGTGCGAAGCGCTCCGAAATCTGTCTAATTCCGTCGAGTCGACGCGCTGCCTCTTAATGAGGTGGGCGGCCCCGCGGGAAGCCCCACTGGCAAGCCCCAACCCCCAAACCCGGCGAACCGTTTTCGCCGCGGGTAGTTCTATCACCACGGCGCGGGCTGCGAAAACTTTGCTTACTTTTTCCTCTTTGTGGCGTCGAAGGCAACTTGGTGGCGCCGCGGTGCCACCAGGGTGCCTCCAGGACCCGCATTGTTCCGCCGACTTTTTCATCATCGTCTTAATAGGGCGGGGTAATCTGGCAGCCCAGCCACCCAGCCAACCCAGCCCGGCCGGCAGGTACTCGCCCCTTTCTTCTTGGCCGGGCTGCCTGCCGGGCTGCCTGCCGGGCTGCCTGGGGTAATGAGTAAGGGACCGCCGGGCCCGTCCGTCGGGCCATGCCTCCATCGCCCGACATCGATCTGCGGGGCTGAATTTTTCATGAAGCCCGCGAGCCCTGAATGGAGCACTGGCCAAAGAGATTTCTCGTTTTGCTGTTCGGACTGCGCGTCCAGCGGTCCGGCAGCGCCGCCGGTTTCGGACTAAATGTGAAGGGGTGATATTCAAATCAATGGCTCGCAGATCGCGACGGGGGAAGCGCGCCGCCTCTGTGTACGACTCTGTTGAATTGCTGGGAATCGCCTCCGTGCTTGTGTTGTTGTTGTTGTTTCCCGCGTGGAAGTGAGCCGGAAACGACAATAACATCTCGGGCGGGGAATTCGAATTTCAAACGGGGAAGGTTCCACTCTGTGTTTATACACGGTTCCTGTGCAAATGTGCATGGCTCTTGACTCTAGCCATAGACATATCTCTAGGATTGTAAAAAAAAATGTAGCCTGTAAGAAAACGTCTCGAAAGTAATTGTACATATGATGTTGATTGTCATTTTTATAAATTGAATATTCTGAACCGAACAATGTTTTAATTATACCCTCTGAACATTCCTCAAAATATTTCACCAACTTTGTAAAAAAAAAACACGCACTAGAGCACTAGATAATAAAAAAAAGCAACCAAACGAAAAAAAAGGTTATTGTTGGGTCTTGGCTTCGGCACCTTTACGTACTGGGAGCATTATTCTGAAATCCAAAATCAAAATTCGAAAACTATTACAAACGATGAATGTTTTTTACGGAAGTGCCGGGTGGGAGTGGAGCTTCCCGGTGTGTACATGTCACCGGCGACCACATGGCTCATGCACTTGTCGTAGCTCTGAAGGGCTCTTCCCTGATCGCGGGGCCAGATTGCTGCGAGAGAGCTTTAGCCCTCTGCGGTCCAGAGGGCCAACACAGAGTCTACGACCGGGCATAACTTTTCGAGCGCCCTAACTCACGATTCGGTTTTGAAAACCGATAAACGGCCTTCAAACAAATCGGCAGTGCGAAACCAGATACATTCCGATCACAAGTTGCGGACAAGAACAAAAACTGGAGGCAAAACGTTGAAAGTAACCAAGAGAGTAAATTCGCACGAGGACTGAAACACCTTGCGTTGGCTCGGCCCCCTCCCCCTCCCCTTCCCCAGAGTCCCGGAGAGAAACGGATGCCAGCACCGCCTCCTTCGAGGATGTTGCAGATGAGCCTGAATCTTTTACTTTAATGGCCGGCGGGCAGGGCAGGAGAAGGACCGCCAGCAGCACCGCCAGGGCAGGCACGTTGCAGGCGCTCTAAATTAACGGCGACCGAGCCGAGCCCAGAGCACCTCTTCCTCGTCACCAGGGCGACCGCAGTATCCCCCCTCCCAGCCCTCCCCCGAGCCGCTCTGACCTCCACCCCGATCCATCCTTCTGCTCCCAGCAGCTCAGCTTACCGCAACATGCACCCAACGAGCACCCGAAACCAAAACCCTCTGGTACAAATACCCACTTGTTTGTATTTGTTTTTTCGGGGTTGCGCGTTTCCAGTGATTTTTTTTTCCGTTTCACTTCGGCGTTGCAGCCTGCACTGCGGATCGCTCTGCGCTGCTCTAGGCTGCGCGAGGCTGCGCCAGGCTGCGCTAGGCCCGCTGCCACGACAACAAGTGGTTTATCAACGCCATACTGGAATTAATTCGCTCGCTTTGTATCGGCCGATCCGGCCGTGGCAGCGCTGCAGCGGTGGCGCCGCAACACACAGGGATTGGCTGCCGTTGGCTGCCGAGGCCCGCGAAGCAATCACACGCCTCGCGACTCCCCCCCCCCCCCCCCCCCTAACGACTGCGTCGCATGTGTCGCATTAATGCGCCGGATGAACGGGAAAAGGTATGCACGCCGATTTAGCATTCGTTCGCTCGGCGGACGCAGGGACAGAGGACGGACAGACAGAGCCTTGCGGCGCGGCCCGCGCGGAGGTCGAACATCCAAAACATGCCGCCACCGCGATCGGAAATCCGAAGTCAACCGACAGACGGACTCACAGGCAGACAGACAGGTAGACAGACAGACAGACAGACAGACAGACAGACACAGTGCAGTGGCGCGAGATAATGGCTAATGGTGGCCGCCCTGGCCGGGCTGCCCGCCGTGCTTTGGTCGCGTGTCTAGCATTAAAATGCGCCGAAGCGTTAATGGCCTTTCGTGTCCGGGGGCGCGATGCGCGGTGCTTTGCGACGCGTTGCGACGCGTTGCGTCGCTTTGCGATGCGCGCGGCGTGTCACGTTGGCGGCACTGCTGCCACTGCGCGTGCGCGGGCGGACGGACACATTCACTGCGCTAATTTGCTTAGCGTTTCGAACACCATTAGCGAGCGACCTGATTGGGCGTCACATCGAGAGCCGTTTTGCGAGCCTCCCCCCACCCTCCTCCCCTCCCCTCCTCCCCCTCCCTTTCCCTTCCCCCCCTCCCCCCCGCATCACGTTCGCGCCAAATCCGCAGAATACCGGCCCGCGCGTTCCTTTTGTGTCGCTTTATCTAAAAGGAAAGGTTGGCAATAACACTGCGAGCGTGACCTTCCACCGACAGGAAAGCCCCTGTCCGTCCGTCCGTCTGTCTGTCTGTCTGTCTGTCTGTCTGTCCGTCCGTCCGTCCGTCCGCGTGTTAATGAGAGCGACAAGGACGGGATGTACTGCCGTGTCGCGCACGTGACTCCGTTCGCGCGACGCGCAACTCAGAGCGAGCACGCGCGGCGGGCGTGCCACCTGTAGCCCCGTGCGGCCCCCGCGGCCCCCGCGGCCCCCGGACGCGTCGCGCACCTACACCGGGCGATGTAGCGCCGCGAAATTTAATCCGCAGGGGAAAAAAACCGTACAGCACCGCAAATGCATTACTTACTGGCAGCAGTACACATACATTCGGGACAGACAGACAGGCAGACGGATGGGCGGACAGACGGAAGGAAGCACGGACGGGTGTGAAATTAGGCCACCGTGCGGGCAGCGCCCGGCAGCGCCCGGCAGCGCCTGTCCACCCACCACCTACAATGCAAAACACCCGCATCATGCTAGAGCTAACCAACCACCCCGCCACTGTGCGAGTGGGTGTGTGTGGTGTGGACACTGCAAGGAGCCCGACGCGGTGCATCACTGTCTTTCTTTCTCTCCCGCACTCTCTGGGCGTGAATAGTGCGAGAGAGACGGCAGAGACCCGGCCCGAAACGGCATAATGTGGTCTAGCCTCTTCAAAGGTAGAGCCCCTGCAGCGCGGGCCGGCCCGTCGCGTCGGCGAGTGCACCGGGTTGCCTACCCGCCGATTCACAGGCGTTCCAGGCGGCCCCACCACACTGCACTTTCTTCGGAAAATGGCAACACTGGCATCGCAGGGTGAGGCGGGGCGGGGCGGGGCGGGGCGGCCTGAGATTGGCAGCAGAAGGCGCACACTGCAGCCAGGCCACAGCGCTACAGCACAGCTTTACTGCCACGTTTACGAGGCCGGCGCTCGAGCAGCCCGAGCTGAGCGCATTCATGCAGACGTCTATGATGGCCTCGGCCCCATACGGCCAGTGTTTCAGTTGCAATTTCCCAAAGTCCGACCGAGCGAAAAAAAACCTACAAAAAGACAAAGAAAGCGTTTTCTCTCCAGGAGGAAAATGGAGGAAAGAGCCATAAATCATCTGACCTCTCACTCTCTCAGCAGAGCCTTCACGTCCACACGTCCGCGCACGCAAAAAGGCGGCACGGCGGCAACCCGCTGGGAAATACACCGGAAAAGGGAGGAAAAGGGAGGCGGCGGGGCGGCCGTCCACGACACCGTCAGCGACACCTGTCGCGGCCACGCCCGGACACCCGTCGGGGACGCCTCTCGGGAACGCCCTCCTGGAACGCCTCTCGGGAACGCCCTCCTGGAACGCCTCTCGGGAACGCCCTCCTGGAACGCCCTCCTGGAACGCCCTCCTGGAACGCCCTCCTGGAACGCCTCTCGGGAACGCCCTCCTGGAACGCCCTGGAACGCCCATTCCGACTATTTTGGGGCGATTCCGCGTGCGGTCGAAACCCATTGACACCTATTCCTACTCGCAGGACCCAAGATGCTGCATTTGACACTGCGGTCGAGGGTGTTAAGGGTGTTGATTTCCGGCGCTGAGGACCCGGGTTCAAGTACCGTTACATCCTCAGTTAACTTTTTTTTCAGGGAGCAATGTTAAAGCAGTAGTTTTGTTTCCACTTTTACTTTAAAACGAGCCTTTACTCCTTTTACAGCGTCACTGTTTCCCTTTCTGGCTGACATCCCCCCTCCCCTTCCCCCTCCACCAGTTTGTTTGACTTGTACGGAAGAAGGGCAGTGGCGAGCACGGCCGGCCCGGCCCGGCCCGGCACGGCCATCCCAGCGCAACCACGACGCCGGTTGCGAGCCTCCCCCACCACCCCGCCCACGGCACCGCCAGCGCCGGCGGCACCGGCCCGTGGGGAAGGAAAGTCGTAAGGTTTCATTTTTTACAACGGCAGCGCCGAGCCACGCCGAGCCGCGCCGAGGGCGGCAACGCCGAGGCAAAGCACACATACACTGGTACACTGGCGAGCAGTGGCGTGTCCCAAAGCACCCCGCGGCCCCGCACTCGGACGTGCTGTGATTCTGTACGGCAGGCCGCCTTCAGAAAAAGCGGAGAGCGGCCGGGCGGCGTCGCCCCGTCTCTCTCCCTCCCTCTCGCACTCCTGCGGGCCGCCGAGAGCTTGGCCGAGAGTGCGACAGAGACAGAGCGACCTTCGGAATCAGTCTGCCGGCCGCCAGGCACCGCGAGGGTGAGCGGAGACGGAAGTGCACTCGAGAGCGGGGCGGGGTCTCTCTCTGCCTCTCTCTCTCTCTCTCTCTCTCTCTCTCTCTCTCTCTCTCTCTCTCTCTCTCTCTCTCTCCCCCTCTCCCCTCTCTCTCTCTCCCTCTCCTCTCTCTCTCTCTCTCTCTCTCTCTCTCTCCCTCTCTCTCTCTCTCTCTCTCTCTCTCTCTCTCTCTCTCTCTCTCTCTCTCTCTCTCTCTCTCTCTCTCTCTCGCACTCGCGCGGGCGTGAGAGAGACGGACGGCGGGCTGGAGGGCTGCGGTACAAATCGGGAGCATTACACGGCGCGGCGACGGCAATATGTTTGGGAATCACTTGGCTATTCCGAGAGGAACTGCAGCGCCAAAGCGACGCTTCTTTTCCTCTCAGGATCTCTGTCTGTCTGTCTGTCTGTCTGTCTGTCTGTCTGTCTGTCTGTCTGTCTGTCTGTCTGTCTGTTCCGCGCACCTGCCGCCCATAAACAAACCCCGCGGCAGAAGCAGAAGACTAAAACTGTCAATTCTGCGGTGTGCACCCCGAGGCGCACCCTGTGTGTACCCTGTGTGGGGGCATCTCCACCTGCTACACTACAAGGAAACGCCTGGGCTCCTTCCCTCGGCAAAGCCAACAGGATAAAGACAGCTGTTCCCTGAGCCTGGATTGGTGTCATGTGGGGAGGGGCGGGGCGGGGCGGGGCGGGGCGGCCTACCCCAAGGCGTCCCCAGTGCGGCCGGCGAGAGGGACGGTG